GGGAGGGGTCAGTAGAGTACGCAAGCGGGGTGCCTGCAAAGAGTGGGGGAGAGGAACAGGCAGCAGAGGAGAAGACGACTCCCATCTTCTTGCAGAGTGAAGGACCTGGGAGAGAAGGGGATGGATGGGGAGAGGAGATACCTCAGTAGAGCCATAAGAAAATGGGGCAACTGATAAAAAGTGAGCAAGCTCCTCTCCATGTGAAAGAGGATCTGACAGCAATCTGAGTCCTGCTTTCCTTATTCCTATCTTGCCAAGATTGAAGAATGGTGGGAAGATCACTGAATGAGCTTTACAGATGGGTTTGTACTTGTCTTATTGCTTCGGGTTGCATTAATCTCTGCAGTGGGTTCTCATTTAGCTGCAAAAATGTCACCGAAACAAATGAACTGGAGCAGGCTGACATTCTACCAACAGATGTAGAGAATTTCTTCTGCATGTTGTAGAAAGATGCAGTCAGCATTCTCACTTGTCTGCAGCTCCTCCAAAACGAAACAAAGATATTTAGATTAGATCTTAGGAAGAAATTCTTCAGTACGAGGGTGGTAAAACTTTGGAATAAACTGCCCAGAGAAGTTGTGGATGGCCCCTCCCTGGAGGTAGGGGTTCAAGGCCAGGGTGGACGGAGCCTTGAGTAGCCTGGTCTAGTTGAGAGGCATCCCTGCCCATGACAGGGAGGTTGGATTAGATGATCTCTGAGGTCCCTTCCAGCCTATGCCATTCTATGATTCTATGATCACTGGCTGAGTTGGGAGTCTAAATGCCTAAAATCAGCAGACCCTTCGAACAGAGAAATGAGTAGAATCAGTCAGGGAACACGGATGATGGCAGGGAAGTGACATGACGCAGTGGAGGAGTCTGAGCAGTCAGGGAACAGGGACAGAGGAGGGGTCAAAGTACAAAGGAGACACGGTCGGGTGTTGGGTGAACTGCCTTGGAGATGGGGTGATCCATTTCTGTCCATGAAACCATCAAACCCCTGTCTGCACATGCACTCCCGTTTCAAGAACATGCCACTACTTGTGCTGTTCTTGCATCCTCCCCTGGCTCCTGAACCAACATAGTCCTTTCAGTGTATGAGGTCTAGGAAAGGAAAATGATGTTTTGCTGGGCTTGCTGAGAGTGCCCACGATGAAAAAAGGAAAAGATGGAGAAACAGCAAAGGAACCAACATGGATTTGGTGCATTCTGCAGCCAGTTATCCCTGAACAGGCAGAGAGGAGCGGAGCGTAGCATGAGGCAATGTCGTGTAACAGAAGACACTAAGGATCTCTGTTTAAAGTATTAAAGCAGATTTAGGATTGCCAAAAGTTCCTTAGCACTTCCATAAAGTAAAGAGTGAATAAATGTAAGGTGAAAAGAAGGTGAAGAAAACTTCAGGTCACACAAACAACTGCAGAAAATCAGGAAATACAAAGTAAATACGATCTTCATTTTGCTTTAATTAGTCCGTCCTTGAATGTCCCAAAACACCAAACATCACATCTGCTAAGAGTTTCTCTTTACAGTTGCAAAACAAGCAGGGGACAGAGCAGACAAATGCTGCGAAACCTAAACTGAACACTTGTTTCTTCCTGAAGTTCGCTGTGCTCAGTTTGCCTTAAACCAACCAGCCCGACAGCCCAAGTAACACCAAGCCTTCTGCTGCGCTTCCAGCCAAGACGTATCCGTACTTACGCCTCACTGCACTCGGGGGATCACCACCGTGTGTGAACAGATGGGCTGCAATATGCACCCACACTGACACTACCCACCAATACGGGGCTGAAAGGAGGACACTGGATCTCTGGGGGTTCACACACGCCCCTCCTCAGCCCATCCTTCCACCAGGGACAGCACGCACAGCCTCGGCTCTCCGATCACCGCGCGCCGTGAAGGCAGGGAGCAGCACATTCAGATTCACCACACTACACTCGCTCGGAGACTGGTTTGATACTGCTTGACAACGCATTTCAAAGCCTTAACTCATAAATTTGATTCAGTGTAATTTCCCTTTATATACGTACTCTGTTGGGCAGAGTGGCTTTCCCATTTTCATCAATCTGACAAAAGGTTTAAACTCTATAAAAGGTTGCTGATATTTAAGTTTTAATAAAATATTTCACGTATGTCATTCTTTCCTTAGATTGACCTACTCTACGATATATTATTTACATAACTGCTGCAATATCTATTTCAAAACCAAGTAGACAGCTCTCTCCAGAACTGTAGGCTGCTCTGCCTGTCACTGTGATGGGTAAACAGTGTCACCTCTTCAGAGCCCAATGAATTACAGAGAAGTAGTGAAGTGCACCATCCATCACAATGGCACTAAGTAGGTTTTTGAAGTAGATTTCAGATCACAAATGCTCACATTTTTACTCACAAATGCTGTTTAGACTGTTACCAGAAAGCACAAATTGGACGGCTCATATACAATGGGCAATATGACGAACGGACATGACAGGTGGTCAAAGAAAATGAGTCTTGCTGTTCTGCAAATAACCTTGTCAACATGAAAGTAGAGCTGTAGCTCTGCTGGTAGCCAGCGTGCAGTAACTTAATGGTTTTATTTGCTTGAAATTCCAGCAAACCCAATATACAAATGAGATACAATGAAGCAGCAGTATCGAAGCGATATTAGCAATTCAACGTGATTATGTGCCACACAATAGAAATTTTTTACTAAGGATGTGTCACATTTGAAAGAAAATTATTCGCATTATGAGTAGCTGTTACAAGAATACTTTTTCACAGGAAAACTCTCATGACTTTGCAATCACAACTCACCACAAGATATTCAAAACACACAACTTGTAGCTCCACTGCAAGCAAGTCACCCTGTGACGGCTGAACACAGCAACAGCCACCACCTGCTACTTCTCATTTAAAGTTTTTCTACTTCCATTAGTTTAAATAGTAGAGATTACTGGACAGGATTGAAAGTTGGGGACATTAGGTCACTACCAATTTATCCATAACCTAAACAAAAAAGGAATTTTGCAATTTTCCCTTTTAAGCAAAACTCTACATCTAAGGACATTTCGGGTAGAATTTTTGAGGAATAAAAGAAAATATCTGAAGTTTTTGAAAATCATGCACAGTGTCATTCTTTGGCTCAAGTACAAGCTTCGAGTTTTGCCAAAGCCAATGTACATCCCTAGTGATGAGTACAAGCACAGTGTGTGTGGTCCTCATTTCTGCAGAACTCAATCATAGATAAAACTGCTCTGAGAAATAACTGCAAAGTGGTACATGTGTTGCTGGTAATAACACCAATGATTTTTCCCGCAACATTGGATTTCCTTTAATCTGATGAAATTGTTTGCAACACATTTATTTTCATGAAATAAATCTCAAAGGCCACAACTGTACTTTTATCTCATTATGGTTACTCTTATTAAGTTACAACAAGAAAATAATATTACATATTGAGTTCATAAGTGATAAACGTGAGAAGTTAAACCCACTCATTAGTACGTTTTACTTGTCCATGGAAAAGTTGAAATATACATCATGCAGGTGAGGACCTACCCTTGCCTACTTCATTTCACTTCTTAACAAACTTTAACATGAAGTTGTTGGGTTGATAGAGCCCCAGAACAGAGGATGCATGGAGATACGACCATGAGACTCAATATGGAAAGTAGGCATTTAAAGTACACAAAAACAGGAGATGGAGAGAAGTCTCTCCCAAAGGAGAACAAGAACTCCGTCCCTTCTCCTCTCTGGAATAAATTCTTTCGACTAAAAATTAAGAGAGAAGCTGAAGTTGTGGACTTTCAATCCCTAACATTCTGTGATCTGGGATGAGAAACTTAAGGATCTGACTTGCTAGCAGCCCTCGAATTTCCTACAAACCAAAATTCAAAATTATATTAATAGTCCATAACATCGGTTAGTTACCATCATGCGACTTCCCCCAATTTGACTCGTTACAAGATTTCCACAGTGCGTTCCATGTTACCAATAAATATTATGGGCAAACACTGTCATAAACAAAAGCAAAATACACAACAGTTGTATTTTACTGTTAGAAATTCAGTAACTGATATGCTATAAATATTAAGATATTCACAAAGTATAGAGGTGTTTTGGAAGAGGTATCCTCCAAACCCAAAGTCGCAATCTGTTCCTATATAATCTATTAGCGTTCTAAATCATTAAAACTAACATATCTTTTAAACAATAAAGAAATCAAGATGGAAAAACTCCTGCATCATTGGAATAACATACAACATTTTAAAAAGAAGACAGACAACAGCAATGCAGTTAGCAGTGAAATTGCTATTTTTGTATTTCAGAAATATTTATTGAGATTTATGCTATCTCAGCTAGGAAAGTAAACAGAAATTATGACCCCTTTGTGCATCCCCAATATATTTGGAAAGCAAATATAGGGAGGCAGCCAGTGAAGAGAGTAAAGAGGATAAAAAGAGATAATCCAAGATCTTATTTCACTTGGCAAGTAACAAATCCCAACAGGCAGGATCTTTTCGCTGACAAAGCTTCCTAACAAAAGCTACAGTAAGATAAAAATACAAATTCGAGTTTTCAAGAGGAAAGAGAGCAGATGTGTTAACTGAATGGCCTTAGAAGAAAGTATGTGAGATCCACGATCGTAATTCAGGAGCTCCAGGTATTAGCCCAGCACTCCTACCAGTCTCACTGCAGAAAATCTCATCTGGCCCTTCCTACACACATACTTCAAACCAGCAGCACTTATACATGAACAAGGATAAAAATCTAGCTTTAAACACAGATTTCACATTTTTACACCCAAGCAAAAGATGCCAATTCATAAACAAAGATACTAAAAAAAAAAATAAAATCATATGAAGCATTCAGGTTTGACTAATTTTTAAGTTTGAATTGAGATTGGTCATACCATATTTTACCTGAGCATGTTTATTTTAAGGCTAGGTATTTCACCACGTGTACTTTGCCAGCCAAGTTCAACAAAAGCTGATGTTTTCTAACTTTATTTCACCACAAATGACAGAGACAAATGGTCACATTACCTCAAGAGTTCCTTTGGCAGAGTAAGCTGCATATGAGTACAGGAGGTCTTGGCTATGAAGCATTTTGGTCTCTCTGTTGCATTGATGTCCACTAGGATAAAAGCATTCACCGCTGGTTTTCAGAGTTACTGTGTTTGAAGAAGAGCTTGGTAGGTCAAGCAAAACAGAGTAATTTACCAGCCGGACATCTTCAAGGCCTTGGGAAGTCCACTGAACCAGAATTTTCATTGCAATGTCTACATCATTCTCTCTAGGGACCTGCAACAAATGCCTGGGAAAAAAAAAAAAACACCACAAGTAAACACAATTTAATTTATATCTCAGCAGGATATTTGTACCTTAATACGCATTAGTCCATAATTTTATTCATAACACATCAGACATACAAAAAAAACTATTACCCTTCATTTTTTTGCAAGGAATTTGTTACCAAATTTTCTTTTTGTGAGACCAAAAAACCTGCTTTTGGGGAAATAAAAATAAAGAAAAAATATTATTTGTAGGAAACATATCCAATTAAAAAATAAAGAATCCTGCAGAAATTATCACAATAATTGTTTGAAAATTCATCCCTCTGGTGCTGACCAAGTTTCCGATACAGCATTAATTTAACCAACCACTAAAGATGAAGATGCAATCTGAAGTAACATTTCAAGGACTTTAGGGACAGCACGATGCTGAAAATTAGTTGTAATAATATGTTTGGCTTAAATTCATCAAGCGAAGCAAATTTCCTAAACAGAACGGAACTGTTCCCCCAAATATTGTGCTAGCTGTCAGAAAGTTTTCCTCAGATTTCCTACCTACACTGAAGGATCACCTGAGCCAACAGCTTGGCAAGCCTAAGACACAGGTCTGGAAATGATTTTGGCAGTATCTACCAGATAAGCCAACTGAGACTGCAGATGGGTTGGTCTGGGCTTGCTTCACTGGGTTTGTATCACTGTTCAACACCCTGCTACCAGATGGGCTGTAGGATGAAAATGGTGACAGCACTGAAAGACCGCTCTCCACCCCAGCAAACGCCAAAAGATACAAGATGTAGAGAGTATTTTAAAGATAACTTCAGAGGACAGACATGCTGAAGGACAATTAAAAGCTTTCCTTACTTACGTAGGCAAGCACTTTTGCAAGCAGGGCACAAATAAAAAGCACCATTATTCAAATAAAAAGTACTATCGAAATGCAGTACAAAAAGCTTACAGAGTATTTCCTGAATTTTGTGAGAATTTTCTTTTTTTTTTTTGGTCTGTGAAGCTCTTGGGCCTGAGAAAGACGACTAAGGATCACAGAGGTATTGATTTCCAAGCACAGATATACTGACACTGCCTGAAACTCTTGTTCACAACTTTATCTTCACAAAAAGGCCAATTATATTTAGATGCATTAGGGTCCTTAATGGAACTTTAAAAATACTCTGGCTGTCTTGCACACATCAAAACCAATAGTTGAATAATGCATAGTTATTATTGCATTATTGCAAGTGATAAGTATTAGAGAACCCCAGCAAGTGCTTTGCAAGCACCCCTGTACAATCCAGCTGCAACACGGTGGGCAAGGAGCTCCCGGCTTAAGGTACCGTCACGGCTTCCATCAGGGTCCGCCCTAACAAGCACCAAGTCTCCCTTCTCCACCCCGGCAAAACTACCTCATAGTTCAGCAGACCTTTCAAATAATGACTACTTACTGCCCTAGACAACATCAAAATGTTAAAACTGCAAAAACGAAGTTATAACACCTGGCATAGCCTAAAAACTGCTCAAACATTGTACACTACACTCAAATGTATAACACCCATCATCACGTTATATGGATGAGATAATTATTCCAACATCCAAAGGATTTAAAAGATATGCAAAAATTCTTTGATCAAAGAAACACGTTGGATCCCAGCCTGCCTCACAATACCAAGGTTATTAGTGTACAAAGTTCAAAATCTTTACAAGACCACTGGTCTTATGTTAAAGACTTCAGAGATCCTGTCAGGAGGAATAAATGTCTTGCAAATTTAATCTTTTGAAATTATCTAAAATAAGTCTTCAAGCAGTCTACACAAAACAGACGAGTTAATCCAATCTGTAGTATATTACAAGTTTCCAATTTCATCTCCTGTGCCTGTTAAGGTAATGACATAAACTTGGGCACTGCAGAAATATACAAAGCTGTTTGATTAACACAATCATTAATAGAATATCTGCATTTCCCTCAGGTAATAGAAACATTAATAGAATAAATAATTGCAAGAAACTCATCCCAGGCCCATAAGGTTATGGCACACTTCAACAAGAAGTATTCAGTTTCAATAAGAGGAATTAATCATTAAAAGAAGATACAATAAGCAAATTGTTCCCTTAGTAATAGGAGTTACTTTCCTCTTCATAATTAAATAAGCATGTCTTTGAAACTTTTCTGACAAGGTAAGTGATTAAGTTAAAGAAATGAGCACAGTCACTATTTACACCATAATTTCTTTATAGCAGGTTAACATCAAATTGCAAATTATAAGTACACATTATATAACGATAAATCGGCACACATCCGACTACTTTGATAAATCTTATGAACAACATCACCACCAAGGGTTTTTTTTTTGTGACAATTTTTTACAATTACTGACTTGCACTCGTCTTTGTTATAATTCTGCTAACTGCACGGACTTAAGTCCACCTGCGTGATTTAACTCATTATTTTTATTACATACCAGTTGAATAACAAGTATAACTTGTGAAAATAGTATTTCCTAAACCAGACCAAATTCAGAGATGGGTAAAGCTTGTTTGACAGTCCATCCTGAAAAATCCCAACACTTCACATGCACTTCACAGTCCTTCTCCACAAATTGTCAATTAACTTGCTTCCTGAAAGTGCCAAAGCACTGGGATTCATAGTAGGAAGATTTAGGCAGTGGAAAGAAAGAGGCCCCTGGGATGATTATGTTTCTCACTTCTGCAAGCGGCTGCATACTCAGTAGGAATCAATAGCAATACAATTGCCAAGTTCTATTTATAATACTGCCTTTCATGATGTCACCCAAATTTTTGATTCCCTTACATTAAAAAGATACTTTATTCAGCTACTTGTTCAGGTTCACTCAATGGGAATAACCACAAAGTTAATGGGTACATCTCAGTTGCTGTAAATCTGCATAATTTACTGAAGTGGAGCCACGACGGACTTCAGATTTGGTCTCAAGTTAGAATCAACATTAATAAATAAAACAACAACAGTCTGAATAATACTGTGCCTTTATCCAGATGCTCTCAAAGAGATTTTCACAAGTTCCTTTCCTTTACTTTCTAACATAGATCAGATATTGAACTAATGTACATGAAGACATAAACTTGTTTTCATGAGTGTTCTGCCCCATCTTAAAAGAGGCTCAGTTTCTCAACTGAAAAAAACAACAGATAAAATTGCACCTCAGACTCAGAAAACATACTCCACTTAAATAAGGTAAAGTTCTCCCACTTCGATATGATGATACGATCAAGAAAATGTTTAGGAAGACATGTTCCTAGCCTTCCTGTGTTATCAAGAAGTCTAGGTCTTATATTATTGCCTGATTTGCTGAATGTTCTGGCCAGTGAAGAGGAGCAGCCCATCATTGTTGAAGGTTCAAAGTTCTAAAGCTACAAAAATAATTCAAAATAACATGAAGACATACCTGTAATAAAGCTAGGCTTTCTGCAGCTTCAAAAAACCAGTCTTGAACAGATGATAACAGATAAATGAACAAATGCACACATACAAAATACAGAAATTTCATTTTCAAATTGGTATTAATAGGGAAAACAGAGCTGAAGCAGCTTAATGGAAAGTCATCTGCTGTAACAGCACTTCTTGCAACACATCTTGCTAAAGGGAGCAAGGTATTGCAAATCAGTCAGCTGCTCGTTGCTGGTGATAGAATGGGACACTGCAAAACACTGCTCCAAGGATACCAAAAAATTACAATAAGTCACTCTAACAATCAAAAGATGGAATAATTTAATTTTATAAGATAATTCCTTATCAGACAATCCTATTAAACTGGTACAAAACTCCTTAAAAACAAATCTAAACTGCAGTAGGATTCTACAAGTTTAATTTTGAAAATCTACAGGGACAAAACTTTCCCTTCAAATATGAAGAATTTCAAGTGTGGTTTGTTTGCTGGTTTGGGTTTTTTTTTTTTTTTTCTTCTTTGAAGATTTAATGTCTGTACTGCAATGAGAGTGGAAATGGCCTACACTTCATGGCCTATTAACAAAATAATCTGAATTCCAGGTTTGCCGAGTCAAAATTTTATCTCATTTTCTTTTTTCCAAAATTTTGACTATAAATTTTTACTCTTTATTGTCTTCCACTTCACTGAAATTGTTGATAAAGGAATTGCTGGAATTTTAGGCAAGAATTAAGAACAAATCTAATTTTGGAATTTTTATGAGCTGATTTTTCAGCTGAGTAGTTGTTTTCCAGTTTTGGGAGTCTCAATGAGTTCAACCAGAAAACATTTTTTGTAAAGCTACATCAGAACAAAGTATTATCTTGCCTAATACGCTGTTTCCCACAGTAGCTGGTAGCAGATAATCAAAAAAGAACACAAGAAACACATCATGTGTGTTTATTATATTTATAGGTTTCCATGCATATGCCTGCTTCCTAGCCACAAACTTTGTCCAGGATGAGTTTTACAAATGTTTGCATATGTTCAGGACTTCAGACCCCGTTTCAGTCCATTAAGAGCTGAGATGTGGCAGCTCCAGCAGCGCCGGGCGAGTGCACAGCCCTTGCACGGGCCAACTGCCCAGCATATGCACAAGTATGTTTTGCAGTTGCAGACAGAGTAGTTGCATCCATCGCATATAGCGTGTACACACAGCAAAGTAAACATGTTCAGGAAGCACCACCTGCCCAAGCCACATCTGCTTAAATTTTAATTACATGTTCCTGTTAATTAAGGTGCTCAACTGGCTGGTCTCCGACCTGCCCGATCAGATTTCCTGTGGTCTGAACTGACTGCTACAGATCTACTCATTGCAAAATAAACAAAAAAAAAAAAAAAAAAAAAAATCCAAGAGAGGATAAATATTTATCAAGAGGTTAGAATATATAAGAGAAACATTCCTATGGTGTAAACAGTTGACTACATGCAGTTTAGTGCAGGATAGGAACCAGAGTCACTTCAGATTATGTTGCGAGGCCTCCAGCAACTGCTCCAGAAAGCAAATCTGTAACATGTCCTTCGTCACATCTGCCATCACTCTCTATACATTCTGAATATTCTGGGCA